GCTTGAGCCAGTGTGCTCCATGTCAGTGGTTAATGGTAAGTAACCCATCAGCAGGATTAATTAAAATGTGTTTTTAAGGCACAGTGGTGTTTTGGGGAGTCCTGGAAAGGAGCAGAGTATTATGGGTTCCTTTATTGTAATGACTTTCCCGGTCAGTGAGGGGGAGCATGTCCTGTTCCAGCCAGTGCTGACACCTGGCTTGGCAGCAGCAGAGAGGAATTCCTGTCTGACTTGGGATGCTTTCTGTGCTGGGTGTCTGTCCAGGCATTCCCTCAGGCAGCTCTTGTGCTGTTTCTTGCACCCTGAGCAGTTCCAGACCCCTCCTCTGGTGTAGGGTTCCCCAGGCTCACAAGGGGTCCCTGGTCTTTGTGAGTCCATGGGGTCCCAAGGGACTGCAGGTTCCAGCCAGGCAGAGCCACCAGATGGAGTGGAGACAGAGCCCAGGGCTTTGTGTAACCCACAACTAAACCCCAGGTTAGGGTGCCCTCAGGCCTCTGGAAGGTTTTGGCCACGATCAGACAAGCCTGGCATCACTCCAGATCCAAAGCCAGAGTAAGCCTAGGAAATGCAGTTCCCAAACTACCTTCTATCCCTGGGTCAGACTCAGAGCTCTTCTTCCCCTGGGTTTGAACTGGGTTGAACTGAACTCTGTTGGTCCCAGCAGCCTCTTCCCTCTCCCAGGACACAACTGCAGGTTGTGACTGCAGGGTTGTTTGTGCCAAGCTCTCCTGCTCACTCTCACATAACGAAGCTGACAATATATTGCCATTTTTATTGGCCTGGCTGGCAATTTTTCAGGCGCTAGGTACGTTTATGATTGTCAGGGTCACACCTCAGTTTGGAATGGGGAGAGGGATTTTAGACATACCCACACCTTACCATTCCTCCTGCAGCCTCTGTGGGTGGAAAGGACTGTGCAGCGTGTGGCCTGAGCTCCCCAGCTGGTTGTTGATATTTGCATTAAGCCCAGGGGGAACTGGCCAGCCTGGCACATGGAATTGCCTGGCTCAGCAGTGCCACGTTGCTGAGCTGTCCCTGCTGCCTCTTGGTGTTCATGACTATCTGTGCCTGTGTGTGCACTTGTGAGTTTAATAGCAGCAATAGTTGCTTTTGTCAGGGATGATATGCAGGCCATAAAACTTGTTTGCCTTTCCCCCCCCCCCCACACACACTAAGATATGAAAGCTGTGGAAAAGGCTCCAAAGCCTGCTGGCTCTTTCAGATGGAAGTTATATAAGGAATATGAAAAGAATGCATTTCATGGTGGCCAAAGGACCTAAAAATACCACTTTCACAGATCTTTGCTTGGACATGATGAAAAGATTCCTCAGCTGGAGAGATGGAGCTCTCCAGGAAATCATCCCTAGGCTGAGCTGCAGGCACAGAGAGCTCTTGTATTTAAAAACAATGTAAGGGAAGTTGTGTGTCAAAGGCCAATCCTGAGAGCAGCCACCTCCTGTGACATGGGACATGGCCTGTAGGCTCCAGGGAACCCAGCAGGGTAAAACACAGCCCAGGAGTGGCAGCACCTGTGTTTTAGGGTGATTCCAGGCTGGAGGGACAAAAGAGGTGAGAGTTGGGATTGAGGACACCAATTAAGGACAAGGTTGCTTCTGGGACAGTTCATGGGGTTTTTTTTCCCAAGTGAGCTGAATCCAGCAATAAGAAATCTCCTGTAGGAAGTGCACTGATTTAAGATTAACCAGGTAAAGGGCAACCTTGATAGAGCAGTTCATGGGAAGGAGCCCAGGAGAATTTATTGCTTCAAAGATTTGATATTACATATATGGAGTTTTTAGGGCATATACCCAGGTAAAACCAACCATGAATCACAGCAGAGGAGTCCCAGGGGTTTTTTATAAAAAAAAAAAAAAAGAATGAAGTCCTTTTCTTTCCCTTGACTGGACTAACCACTCAGTCCTGTGTGTGCTGGGATAACATGTCCTGGGACTGCCTTTGGTTCCCTTGTTCAGGCACTCAGCTGTGGTGCTGGGGCTCTGGATCATCACAGGTGCACAGGTAGTGAGGGCAGGTTAGTTAAGATCTGTCCTGTTCTCCCAGGTCCTTGACTCAGAGTGGGGACAGGCTCTAAATGCTGTCTCCACACAGCCCTCAAACACAGCCTGCATCTCATCCCTGCTGAGTTCTCACCAGCATGACTGCCACTGGGACACCACTGGATGTGTAATGGGATGGAAAACCAGGCTGCTTCTCATCCCTTGTACCTGGGATGAGACTGCCCACCTCGACTCTCATCAGAGGCAGAGAGGGGGTAAATGAGGGCCAGCTCCTGCAGACAGAGCTGGAAATGCTGGATGCTGCTCCTTCCCAGAGACCTAATCTTTACAGCATCTACACCTCTCCTCTCTTCCTGTTCTCTTCCTGGCCATGCTACAGCTGAGCACAGCCTCCCGTGGTCAGGAAAGCAGGTCATTAAGAGCCTTCTCTAATTGCCAGTGTATTTCTTCACCTTTACAGCCAGTGATAAGTTGATTTTCACTTGATCATCTTACTGTGGCACATAGGCTCAGTCTGGCTCCCACCTGCTGCCAGCAGTAGGGTGGCTGTGTTTGAAACAAAGGACAATCACCCACCCCAAAGTGCTCAGAAATTACCTTTGAAATACAAGAGGGACATAAAATGAACATGTTTGAAATGTGAATAATATATTTTAGCTTCCTTTGCCTGGCTTTCAGAATGTGGTTACTTCAAGCCTTTAAGCTCCCTGGAATCATGAAAGCAAATATTTATTCTCCATGTTTGTTTTTCTTTTAATGAAAATTGGGATTGTCATTCAATCTATGATTCCAGCACACGTGGCTTCAGGACAGACACATTGGGCTTGCCAGGAAATAGTGACAGCTGGCAACAGCATCAAACACTTGTTTGGGCTTTTTTCTCCATACACACATATGCTTTGTGCTCAGACCAACAGGGAGGTTAGCCCCTTGATTTAAAATAAATCCTCCTAGAAGAAAGAAATCCATCTGTCTGGGAAAAGTTAGAAAATATTTTTGCATTTATTTTTCTTTTTTTTTCTTTTTTTTTTATGAATACAAACTCTTGTGAAGAAATATTCTTCTGTTTCCATTGGAAGGCAGAAACCAGCAAAAATTAATGTACAATATAAGGAATACTTGGTGCAAATGGACCAAAAAGAATTCCCCACAAAGTATGTCTACGTACAGGAAAAAAGGTTGCTGCAGTTGGAAAAGACAGCTTGGTTATTACAGGGTTGAGGGGTTTTTTTTGCATTTAATCTCCCAATTATAAATAATCAATGTGATTTACAAAATAATTTACAGAAAATGATTGGATTCATCATTGCAATAAATTACTTGGTACGATGCCACCAGCATTGGGACCATACAGCACCTCTGACACCGCCAGCACGAGGGGTTTCATTTTGCATTGGAAATCAAGGGACAGACCTGCAGCTCCTCTGGCTGAGCTGGCTCAGATCTGTCCCCACCAGAGACCTCTTGGCAGCCATGGGGCCACCACCATCCTCATCCTCCTGAGAGGCCAGCGGGGACTCAGGCCTGCCGTGGTGCAGGGCTCTGGGAGCTCCAGCCCTGCTGGCACCTGCAGCAGGAGGGCTCCTTCCCTGCTTTCAGCTGTAAACCAAAGGTCAGATCCGCAGGGCTTTGGCACAGGCAGGCAGAGGAACAGGGGCAGGAGGGAGCAGAGCAGGGTGGGCACACCCAAGGCTGGGGCAGACCCAAGGGGCTTGGGTGAGACAGGGTTATTTCTTGACCTCTGTGGCTTTTCTCTGCAGGACCCCAAGAATTGTATTTTTGAGGTTGGTGCTCTCAAACACTCTGAGGTCTGAAGGAGTCATAACGAATTCTTATCATGTTATGAAGACCTATAAATCTGTTATCAGCCACTCACTCTAAGCTGAAGGAGTGGCACTGCACTAGAGAAGTGGATTGTGTGGCATATCTTAGCATTAAGTTGGGTCTGAACTGAGATCCTGGGTCCCAATGCTCCCAGCACTTAGAGAGCCCAAGACCTTGGGCCAGCCTGTGAGTTTCAAGCTCTTCTCACCCCACAGGTCTTTCCCCTTCCTATATCTTTCCCCCACTCCCTCTCAAATAGGCATCCAGTGGTCTTCTGACTGCTGACCAGCAGTAGTTGGGCCAGTGATATTTGGGCAGTGCTGCCAGCCTGCAAAGGGGTGACCCCACCCCATTAGCTGAAATCTCTGGAATCCCTTGGTCCCTCTGATTGCCAGGAGGCAGTGAGTGCTGCAAGGGAAGGGTCTGGCAGTGGTTGCCTCTCTGAGCATTGTGGTCAGAGGGCAGGCATGGCACGGAAATATCAAAACCCCTCAAGAGGCAGAGGGATCCAAACAGTGGAGTATCTTGGTGGGCCAGACTTTGCCCCAGCATCAGCTGAAAAGATTTGTTAGGTCTGGCTGGGGGGCTTAGAGTGCAGGTGGGTGACACCATGCAAAGACCTGGGACTAGCCAAGGCTGAGGAGCAGTTCTGGCAGTGCTGCCTGGGCAAACCCCATGTGCTTCACCTGCTGTGCTGCTCCTGGGGCAGCTTCCACCTCCATCAAGTCTGGCTGGACTGGGGACTGTCAGGGGGCTGGCATGGCTGCGGGAGGGAAGCCCTCCACTCCCACAGCACAGGGAATTCTTGTTCACAGGGTCTGCTGTGGCTGAACCAGTGCTGAGGTGGCAGTGGGGCAGCAGCCTGTCCCCAGCCAGTCACTGCTACCTCCCCGCAGAGGGAGGCAGGAATCTGGCCCTCCTTACAAGGACTGAGGGTTTTGGCAAGGCTTCAGCCTTAGTTCTGGGACTCTGGGGCTGCCCATGGCACGTGCTGTCCGTAGCTGCAGGAAGACACCTTCTGGTGGTGGTCAGTCCAAAAAGCAAGTCCGTGTGTCCGTGCCCAGGGACCTCTGATGGCTTCTCTTGTCACAGTGGCAGAGTCAGTTTGGGCTTTTCTCCCACACGGTGTTCTGAAGGAGGCTGGCTGGCTGGGGTTTGCTAGATGACCTCCTGTTTTGTGATGGCAGGCTGTGGGATGGACGTGGGCTGCTTGGCCACGGTTGCAATGGCTCCAGGCAGCAGCTTGTACTGCTCTGATCCTGAGCCTGCAGGTGGAGAAGGCTGTGGAGTTTCTGGTGTAGCTGAAGAGAGAGAAACTGAATTAAAAGAGGGCCTCACAAACCTGACAGCACTGGGATCTGTCCTCAGTCGTGCAGGGTTCAGATGTCAGCACAGCAGAGCCTCTTAAGAGCTTTTGTGTTTGCTGTAGGGCAGCCCAGACATGCAGGCATGGTTTGATGCCCCAGGAGAACCACAATAACCAACACCAAATAAGGGCATTTTGCTGACATTTTGACCTCTACTAACCACATTTTTGGCCAGCCAAGCTCATCTCAGCACAGGGTCCCCAGTGGTGGCCCCATGTGGTGGGCCAGATCCTCCTGTGTTTTTGCAGAGGACAAACTGAGGTGTGTTTGAACCACTCAAGGGAAGGGGAGCCTTTCCACTGATTTCACTAAGCTCTGGATAGGATCATTCATCCCTTAAGGGCTATGTAAAAGTCTGCCAAGGAGTATCTTGTTGAATCAGTTAGTCTGGCCTAATCTAATCTAACCCACCTCTCTGTTTGTCTTTCCCTCCTTTCTGCATAGGAATTTCTCACACGCTCATTACCAGAGACTTTGTCTTGCTTGCAGAATTCCATGCAAGGTAGAAACTACCTCCACAGGCACACTGGAAAGCTCCTGGTTTCTCCCAGGAGCTCTCTGTCTCTGGATATACTCACACATCTGCCCGTTGTGCATCTGAGGAGGCATTGTGTTGGCCACAATGACGTTTGTTCCCAGGTTCTCCTGGATCAGGTGAGGGTGCAGGTGGTGGTGGGTGTGCGGTGTTTCACTTGATGAGCCTAAGAACATGCACAAGACATTAATTGCCACAGTGGCAGAAAGAAACAGCTCAGATGGGCACACCCACTGTACCCAAATGTCCAAGGCTTTGTGCACCATCCCCTTGTGCACAGGTGATTGGAGCACACCCTTCCCTTTTTCCTCCATGCATGCCTTGAACTAACTAACCCCTGCCTGCTGCCTCCATGTCGTCTCATAAAGAATTATATTCCTTAGTCACACCTCCACATGCAGAATAGCACAGTGGGAACTTTTCATTTCATTTTGTCCCATTGGATGCTCCCACTAGAAAATCTAGGATGTTCTTTCAACCTGAGCTTTTCAGACCTTTTTGTTTTGATGAGTCCCTTCTGACAGAGGAGGATTGGTGAAATGGCTGCCAGGTGGGAGTCTGGGGGGTGAACAGCAAAGTTTGTGCAGAGGGCTGGGGGTGCCTCTCTGTAAGCAGAGGCACAGCTGATACATCTCTTTAGATGAGAAGAAGTAGAGGACCCTTGGTTCCCCCAGTCAAGGACAGGGGAGATGATTTTGTGTGAGTCCTGCAGACGAGCTGTCTCTAACTTTTCTGGATAGGGAGCAGTGACCAAGGAGGGTCTCAAGGGGACAACAATCAGGGAACGCCAAGAGGCCTCTTGTCAGACCCTCAGGTACTCACCTCCCAGCAGCATCTCCTGCAGCAGGTTGTCAATCTTAGCCATGCCAAAGAGCTTGACGAACTGGATCTGCTCTATCATCTGCCAGGTGATGCTCTGCAGCACGGGCAGCAGCAGCAGCAGCTCCCCGAAGCGGCCCCGCGAGTCGTACTGCCGGTCATTGATGTAATCCTCCAGGCTCACCTGCACCTGGTACCGCATCCTCTTGATCTTGGACGGGTCGCTCAGCCCCTTGGCATCTGCAATGACCCACACAGCCAGCTCTCAGCTCTCCAGGCTGCTGTCTGTCAGTGACAGCTGGGCACAGCCTGAGGGGAGCTGCCCCTGATTGTCTGCTGTGGTGGATAGGGTTAGGATGTGGAAGTTTGCAGGCAATCCCGACATGGGAAGAGACGAGAATGCTGACTCTATGTTTCAGAAGGCTGACTTATTATTTTATGATATATATTATATTAAAACTATACTAAAAGAATAGAAGAAAGGATTTCATCAGAAGGCTAGCAAGCAATAGAATGGAATGATAATAGAATCTTGTGACTGACTAGACAGTCCAAGACAGCTGGACAGTGATTGGCCATTAATTAGAAACAACCACATGATCAAAGATGCACCTGTTGCATTCCATAGCAGCAGATAATTATTGTCTACATTTTGTTCCTGAGGCCTCTCAGCTTCTCAAGAGAAAAATCCTAGCGAAGGGATTTTTCATAAAATATCATAGCTACATATGATATTTTATATGAGTGTGTTCTTTGTTGACGGAGTGACAAAACTATTTTTTGTCTCCTTAAAAAGGGAAGAAGCTTAGAAGTTTCTCTCTTTAATTAGTGAAAAAGCTCCTTCATAGGCTTAGAAGACTTCACCTCAAACTTAAGGATAGTTATTTGGACAAAAGCTTAGGCAATTTACTAGAAAAAGAAGTGAACAAAGAAACTGATCGCTTTTGTAAGGTGTTTACTAAGAGCAAGGACTTCCTACACTTGACTCAGTTTTTCTCTGTTTGTTATTTTGCCTTTTATTAAACCTTTTTGTTTTTAACTCTGCAACAGAAGCCATCTTGCTGATTTTTATGCTTTCAAAAGTAGCTGAGCTATTGTGTGTTATAGCCCTCCAAAAGCTTATAAGATCTAGCTCAAAAAAGCTACTATAACAGCAATGGACAATCTTTCTCAAGACTGACTTCTCTCCTCCCTTTTTAAGAACAGTTTGGCCCAGAGAGAAACACCAGGCAGCTTTTCCACCACTCAGGACTGGTGTTAGTCAGCATAATCCAGACTAGGCCCCTCTGATGGTAACCCTCCCCAAGCTGGGGCATACCTGGGTCAAAGAAGATGATGGCTTTCAAGCAGGCATATTCATTGTCATCTATCTGCAGCTCCTGGAAGGGCAGCACCAGCTCGTCCAGGATGCGGATGGCCACACGGTTCACCTCCACCAGCTCGGGGCAGTTCCGTGGGATGATGTGATCATTGCCTGCAGCACAGACACCATCACCTTGTCATTGCTCAGACTTAGCTGGGGGGACAAGGAGTTCAAAATGTACAGAGCTAATGCTGAGATAATTTTGGGGGTGGAAGAATTAAGAAGTTCCTCCTTCAGCCCCTACTCTGTCTCAGAACACCAGAAACTTTGATCTGTTTTACTAGAGCAGCTCATCATTACACAGGAGCCACCCAAGTGAGGAAAAGCTGACCAAGGAGTGAGAGCTTTTTTCTCAATCCCACCACAGCCTGCTTACACAAACTTGGGGATGCACCATAAATTTCACACAGTCCCCAACTTTGTCAAACCTCAAGGCCTTGATGTCAGCCAGGCCTGGCTGTGCTTGCTAAAATACAGAACAGCTCAAGCCACCACCCTGCAAAAAGGATGTCCACAAACACTGAACCACCCTCTCCTTCACCCCAGCAGGGAAGTGTCACAGCAGCAGACTGGCTGGGAGCAGAAGTGCAATTTTTACCTAGCAGCAAGACATCCTTGAACACCATGGACCTCTTGGCAGCTCCCAGTAACAGATGCTCCCCTGCGTGTGCACGTAGCAGTGCCACCTGCAAGGGCAGGGAAAAGTTATTTGGGTGATGCAGAGACTGAGACAAAACTGTGATTTCATGTCAGCAAGAGGGAAAGCTCAGCATTCCTGTACTGCACTCAAGGATGGGAGTCAGGGCCCCTCTTCAGTTACAGGCAGAGAAAGAGATTAAATAATGCTCTGTGCTAAACCAGTTATATAAATCCAGCAGAACCAGCAGGTAGGAGACAGCACCTGAAATATCCCATATTCAGGACAGATGCCATGAGCAGGACCATGCTAGACTGTCCCAGGACCTCCCACCAGTGTGGGCTGTTTGCAGACAGCTCCTGCCAAGTGCAGAGCAGGGACCACACTCCATCCTGGGAAGGGAGGAGAAGTACAGCCCCTGCTGCTGGACATTGCTGTCCCTCTGAGCTGTGCCCACCTCCCACTGCAATCACACCCATGGGGACCCATGTCCAGCTGGGCAGTGGGGTCACCCCCTGGCCACTCATCTCCTGCACAGACATAGGAACTGGGGACAGGGAAGACAGAGGGATGTTTTTCTCCTCTGATGTTAATGATTGAAGTGTTTCACTTTACACCCTCCAGTGGCTCCTGAGAATGTTCTGAATCTTTTGCCCTCCTTCAGTTAAAAATTTCAGAGATTTAGGCAGAAAGAGAAGTTAACAATCAATTGAACATCCTGACACAGAGACTTCTTAATGTCCAGCCAGGACCTTCTGCTGGAGAAAACAATAATTAAACATTAATAGAGAAATGCTGAAAAGTATGTCCTGATGGGAATGGTCCACTTTTCCAGTGTGTTACCCTCAGCATCTGTCAAAGCCAAGACAAGTCTTACCCCACCAGGAATGGAAGGAGAATGTATCACCCATAGGAGAGAGCTCTGGTTAGGAAAGATGCTGATGTCTAGGAGAGGGGTTTTTGCCTTTTTTTTCCACCCCAGATGGTAAAAAAGGTTATGCAAAATAATTAGAGATCCTTGCAAAAAGACTGTGCACACATGATACTGGGGAATCTTTATCTAGATGCCAAAATCTAGCCTCTCTCTATTGCTGTGCAAACATGGGTGGATATGTTAGCTGAGATGTTGGAATTACCAGAGCTGCACAAAACTGAGCTTTCCTACCTGACAAAGCTATGACAAGGAATAGCCCCAGGAAAGAGTGAAGCTCTCACCTAAAAATTTCCTGCCTACTGCAAATTCAAGAAGGCTCAGTTTGTAACCACCTTTTTTGTGTCCACAGAATTTCCTTGTTTGAGCAGGGTTAAAGTGAATTATTTCAAGAAGGCCAAACCATCTCATTTGATATTTGTTCTTGCAGTGATGAACCTGAGATACATCATTCCATTGTGAATTAGGATAAATATACAGTTGTAACACAACAAAGCAGAACCTGAACTTTGAGATGAAATGTCTTTGCCCCACCAAACATGGTAGTTCTGACATTTTGGTGCAGAAGGAGAATGAGGGGTTGGGTGTAATCTTTTCTACAAAAGGAGATGTGTTTCATGGAGCAGCATCTCCCTTGTGGGAAGGAAGAGTTCAAACTGTGCCATCTTTAGGCTCTCTTTTCTCCTTTGAGGAATTTTGCAGCCCCACAACTGTAAAATGAGCTCATGTGGAAGTTGCTGTAGTTTGCAGAGTTATTGGCCAGGTTTAGGGCCTCTGTTCCAAATGGCACAAGGATGTGATGGGTTGTGCAGAGCTGCCCCAGGTCTGTGCTGGGCTGCAGCCTATTTATTTATATATGCTGTGTAAATGGCATTTGCCATTGGAGTCCATTGTGGTTTCCAGAAATCATGAATTGTATTTTTCTTAGCAGTTTAACAGCTTTCTTATAATTTTAAACAATTTAGCACTTGCACACAATAGAAAAGAAGGAAACATGCTCCCATTTTAAGAGCACTGAATTCCCCAGATCTCTGGGTGCTACTGGGTGGTTACTAAAGAGCTCAGATTTAGGATTTAGGGGGTTTTGATCAGCTGGACACTCTCAACTGGATATCCTTTTTCTTCATTATATAAAAATTACCTCTAGGTCAATAGGGCTGGAGACTGGTCCTAGCTAAAGAGAACACATGCTGGTTTTGTGACTGTACACTGGACAGACTGGAAATACCTTCCTGCCTGTGACAGGACCTGTGCTGGCCCTGCCAGAAGTGCTATCCCAGCCACATGTGCTGCTCAAGCCTGGGCACATCATGTCCTCCAACACCCACTGCAGACCTCTGAAACTCAGACATCCACAGGAGCCTTCTTCTTGTTCGTCTTTGAGGCTGCCTGGGAGCCTGCAGTGCAGTTCTAGAGAGGACACCAAAGCCACTGTGCTTGTCTTCATTAGGGAACCCACAAATGCCATTTTAGTAATTTCTGTTAAATGCAAATAGATCCTTGCTTTTTAATCCTAGAAAAAAAGATTTTCCACTGCCTTGGGAGCAAACTAGTGTATAGCTTCAAAATTCCATGCTGGGAGCATGGGTACAAACATACCCCTAGGCAGGAAGCAGCAAGAGACAGGCAGATTTTAAATTTTGGGCAGACCTTAGGCTAAAAATCTCTCCTGCTAATTCTGATTACCCCAAGCATTTGTCAAGCACTTCAGGTTTTCAAAGTGCTGTGCAAACCATAATTAATAAATGACTGGCTGACCCCAAAATGCTCATCTGATAACGACCTAATTCAAGCTCAGTGTTATCTGCCTGTGCTCATGGGCTGATTAGAGGCACATGCAAGTGGCCCGTGCTGGCATTGTATGGATTCCTGGCCTGGGCTGGCATTGTATGGATGCTGTTCCCAATCAGCTGCAGCAGTCAGGATAACAGAGTGCACAATGAGCATTTTCTCTGAAGGTCTCAGCTGGCTTTGGCTCCCCGCTGCCTTTACCAGGGCAGAGCGAGGTGGGGTGGATGGAGAGACTTGCCTGGTCATCCAGGGGCAGCTCACAGAAGGGGGGGATGTACTTGGCCCACTCCACCAGCACCAGCAGCTGCTGCTTCATGGACTCACACACATCAGAAATATTGGCAATCTTCTTCCCTCGGATGTCTCCGTTGAGCACAGGAACAGGGGATGATATCTGGAAGGAGAGAGGAGGTCCTTCAGCTTTCTGTGCCACAGAGGAACCACAGAGAGGAAAATCCCCAGCCCATGGGTTGTGTTGATGCAGACTCCAGAAATTATAGTTACATTTTTCTGTTGCACACACCCAGTTCCCAGAACAGTGACCCAACAAGACTCATTTAAAGTCAGATCAGCTTGGGGTCTCTGAACATGAAACGCTGCAGAGCAGAGGCTGTGCATCATCTTGGTAAACTGCAATGCCTTGAATAGACTGGAAAGCACAGAGGAAACATTCCTAAAGCCAGGATCTTCCTCCCACTGAGCAAGTGTGCTCAGTCAAGATCCAGGAGAGAACAGAAGGGCTTGTGTGGCAGTCAGCCTCACCAGCAGAAAGGACACATCTACCCACCAAAGTGCAGAGAGCTGCTCCCCCTTCCAGCCTGCTCCAGAGGCAGGGCTTGACCAGAGCTGCCCTGTCTGCTTTCCACAGGAGGAGAGCAGGCTCTGCTCCTCTCCTGAGTCATCATGAGCTCACCAGGCCACAGCTTTCTAGGTCTGACATTGCTTTCTGTGAGCACCAGGTCATTAACATTTGACATCACCCACTCTGAATAGCTAAAGACAGACTTTAAAGATAACAGTCTCCCACCTCCCATTGGCTTTTAGGTCCTTTTGGCAAAACTGGGCAAGTTCAAACATGCCCACAGCATGGGTGACATTCGTTACATGGCAAATTATTTGTGATTGCCACTTCATTTGCAAAGCACAACCCTGACAACTCTGCAAGTGCTGTCACACAGAGCTGGACAGAACATCTCCCCCATACCAGGCACCCAACCTCCTGCCTGGTTCTCATGCATAGCTGCTCACCCAGGTCATCTAAAATTTTGCCCTTAGTCACTACTTTATCCTCATGCTTCTGTAAGCAATTAACTCAACCCCATCACTGCCCTCTGCCTGCCCTCTGTGCTCTTGTACAACATCAGCTCTTCCTGTCCTATTCCTGCCAGCACTTGCAGCTCGGACCCTGCTGGCCTCCCCAAGGAAATGGAATTCAAATGCCACCTGCATTTTTTTTTCAGGTTGCATTACCTGGAGGCTTTCCAGCTCACCAGCTATTATTGAATAAATAAGATTGTAAAAATCTCACCATGTATTACCCTAATCAGAGGGCCCGGAAGGCTTAGCAAATAAATAAAAACCTCTGGGTGAGTGACCCTAGATCTTGGAGAAAGCAGCTCCTCAGCAGTATCTTGTTCTAATTAGCAAGGCACATAAAAGTTACCAATTACCGTGCTGGAGCCTGCCTTGTTTAATGAATCTCTCTGTGCTCTGTGGGAGAGCAGGAGCTCCCCTGGATTTGTCCATGGTTGTAGTTTTTATCAGCAGACCCTGCTTTCATGTGATGGCACTGCAGGACTCTGAGCCCCAGAGATGCCCTTCCCTTGTAGATGTGGTGACTGGAGACCCCATTATCTCACACCTCTGGGAGCAGCATCAATCTTGTTTTTATCGGGTATATAAATATATTCGGGCCTGCATAGGACAAGGTGAGATGTGGGATGAGATTGGATGTGCTTTTTGTGCACAAGTTTGGCCCTTGGCCATTCTGGCATATCCCCTCCTTAGGGAAGTGGACCTTCCAGCCTGAGCCTCATGTGGAGCCCAGAGCACAGCACATCCTGTCCTGGAGCATCTCCCAGGGCAGCCTTCAGGGCAGTGTGACCCTTGCAGCAGCATGGACTGCCAACTCCACCCCCTGCTTGTCTTCCCCAGGACACAGAGTTCTGTTCTCCCCAGCTCCCTGAAGAGTGGCAGCTCCTGCCTCCAGCACAGCTCCATCCTCATCACTTGTTCTCACAGCCAAACCCTCCCTGCAGGCTGTGTGTGCCCATCCTGTCCTGTGTCCTCCCAGAGCTGTGGACACCATTTGCAGTATCCAGACTCTTAAATCAGAGTAATCTTTGCAATGTGAACACTCTAGGAAACCAATCTTGGCAGTATGTGAGTGGAAACAGGGAATTTCAGGCAAGCACTGGAAAAGGTATCTGCATAAAACAAGCAGGAAACTGATTCCTCATGAAACTGTGCAGGAATCCAAAGTTCCTAACAGCTCATGGGGAAGGGAGGCTGCTCATGCAAGGCCAGCCCCTCGTGGGCTTAGGCAGACACAGCTCTTTGGATGAAATGATTCTACTTTCTTCCATCAGGCTCTCCAGCCTTCCTGTGCCCCATTAAAGCAGAACAAATCACTGCATATTGTTACAACTGAGTTCTGGACTAAGGAGATTCAAAGGGATGGTTTCAGGTAACAAATGCTTTTTGAAAAATCAGTGTTGAGTTGGCAGATAAGCCACTTAGAAAAGAGGTGATAATTTGAAGACTTGGCTATTAAATACTCAGCTGGCTCTACACTCCAGGTAGTGCCTGATGCTTTTGTACTTGGTAAAGAAGGAAGAAGAGGTACCTGCTGTGCCAGTGCTTCTGCGTGCAGGAGGGCATTGATGGAGGGCAGGCTGCTGTCCTCGTAACTTGATCTGCGGGTGCTGATTCGGTCCCGTTCATTCTGTACAGCTGCAAGAGAGGATTTTGGCTGAGCTGCAGGTGGTTCATGGCAATGCACACTGAAAACTAGCACAGACTTCTGGCATTCCCCTTCCTTAGCTGCAGTTTCCCAGCTTCCCTGCCAGGCAGGGCGGAGGTGCGGCTGTGTCTGGTTTGGGATGGATGCCAGTGAGAGCTGACTGCATCTGGTGGATCTGATTTCTTACTTGCTTTACTAGACTTTCCAGGGATGGGGTTGATTCAGAACCCAAAACACCTGCAGAGTTCAGTGGGGAAAATTTCCTGGCAAAGGATCTGAGTTTTTGATTTCATGATATGGGGTTTGAAAGGGTGGCCATGCTCATGTATGCAGCCCAGAGCTGATGTGTGAAATGGAGGAGTATCTGTGAGGTTTCCTTGCCCACATGACTCCTGTGAGCTCCATTCAGAAAAGCTCCTTGCACTGTGTAGGTGTAGTTGGAAAACTTCTGTCTCAACTACAATAAGGAAGGAAATGCAGAACTGTTCCTGCTGATTCATCCAGAGCAAAAGAGTTCTCTCATACCTTATTGTAAAACCATCCCAGGACAGGTTTCACCCCAGTGTGCCTTCCTGTTTGGTGTAGTCTTGAGGGCTTGGAGGGGGAGGATTTGCCTGCTCTGTCTGTCACGAGGCCTGGGCTGGCTCTAAGTCACCCTGGCCACGCCACTCAGAGCCATCTGCTCAAATAAGCTATTGATCCATGGCAGGGGAAACAGCACAGTCCCTGCCTTGGGCTGGTGGCTCTCTGCATTGATATGTTCTCCATGTATAAATCCAGCTGATAAAAAGTAATAATGAGGCTGGGCCAGGAGAAAAGCCCTGCAGTCAGCGGCTGTAAATAGGAGCTCTCAAGGTTATGCTGCTTGTTATCAGTAGCAGGCCCCCGAGTTCAGTCATGCCATGATGTTTTCCAAATGTTTGCTCAGTATTAGCTGGTCATGCACCTAATGTAACTTCTATTGAATATTAACAGACAACAGCACAGCTCTGGGCAGGGGATGAGCTGCATGGAGAGGAGGATTCCTATATTCTTCAGGAAAAGTTAAGAAAAGTTGCTTGTGATACCACATCTTTTACAGGGAATAAATGTTCCTGCTCAGAGGTCTTCCTGCAGCCACCAACATAACACTGGTCCTTCCCTGTTGTCTTCAAGGACCCTTTTACTCCAAAGTTTCTCCTTGAGGCAGTGTGAACTGGGAGGAGCATGGGGTTTAATTTCCCTGCATGGAATAACGGGGCTGAATGCCTCCCATGAGTGAGACATGAGTGGGGTGAACTCTGTGGGATGCCTCTGCCCTGGCAGTTTGTCCCTCCACTAACAGGAGCACCATCAAGGCCAACAGGTTCTCCTGCCCCTTCTCAAAACAGGACTAAACAAGGGGAGAATCCTGCCATGGGGACCTGTAAGGGCTGCAGAGACAGGGAGGCAGGAGAGCTGAGGGGGTGAGCATGGGCCATGTAGGGATATCTCTACTCTGTTCATACAGTTAAATAGCAAAAATGCTCCACTTTACTCTGGATCCTTTCTGCTGTGGCTGAAACTAAACTAAACTCACTGCCTCTCTGCAGAGGGTCAGCAAGAACCTATATATCTATCAGGGAAAAAAGGTGCAAAATGTCAGTGTGACTTCTGCTGGACTCAGCTGGCCAGCTGCGGGTTTTGTGGTCACTCTGGGATAACAGCACTTGGAGCAGTTTTACCAAAGTATTTCCAAATTCCCAGGCCTTCTTTGAAGTTTCTGCTCTTCAGTGATGTGCAGAAGCATTCCCAAACCCCTCCAGTGGACTGGCAGAGTGGGAGCCCAGGTGCTGTGTGTGTCAGTGCGAGCTGGAGAGCCCTGGATGTGATTTGTGTGCACAAACATGGGCAGTTCTGAGACACAGGACCCTCCCTAAATCCCCCTGTGGTGGGGGTCAGATCTGTGCCCAGGAGAGCACAGTGCAGGGAACACAGGGCTGAGGTGGCTGGGCAAGTGTGCACCTGGCAGGGACCAGCCTTGGCTGCAAGGGCTTCCCCAAACATACCCAGGGGTGAGGGACTGCTGCTGGGGGAGGGCAGAGGCACCCACCTTCCTTCTTCATTCCTGCTCGGAAGCACTTCTTCAGCCTGCAGTACCGGCACTGGTTCCTCTTGTCTTTGTCTACCACACACTGCCTGTTAAACCTGCCAAGGAAGGAAGGAAGGAAGAAAGGAAGGTGTGAGGAGCAGCAAGACTGAGCCTGAAGGCAGGACAAGACAGAGCCCCAAGCTCCAAGACATGCTTAGAGAAGGTTCCCAGAGGCTCACCCTGAGAAAGGAGCTCCAATCTCTGATTTTTCCACTCTTGCTTTAACCTGTGGTTTCCTTTTTACACCAAAATCTCAGCTCTCCCCTCTGCCTCTGGATGGTCAATAAGGACAGACTAGAACTGAGTCACACACAGGAGCTGAGACTACTCAGTAACCATTAGGGTTAGGATGTCTATAGTGGATTAACAAACCCCCAGGAAAGTTAAAAGTGTGATTCCAACTTGGAAGCTGCTGTTGTGAGTTAGATCCCAGTAGAACGGAAGGAAGAATGCCTTTATTGTGAGTTTTAAAAAGAGGTGGAAGGTTGTAGTAGCCCATTTGTGAGGTTAAGAAGTCAGTTTAAGTCCCTGTATCTCTCCAGGGCTACATCTGGGATTCTCAGAGGTTGTTTCTGACCCCTGGACAGCATTGCTGCTCTGCAAACTGCTCTGCTGCCACTTGTACTTCAGAGGATTTGGGAAGAAATCAGCTCCTTCCCTTCAGGCTTGTGTCATCAAATTCCCTGTGCATGGTGGGGAAAACTGATCCCCCATGTGTGTGACTCACGAGCCTGGTGGCCACTTGCAGCATGAATTTCACTTGCAAATTTGCTCTAATTTACAGCAGATTGATCCAGTTTGCAGAGTAAAGACAAAGGAGTACAGAACTGGAGAAGGGCTGCCATCCATGCTGAATTCTGTAGCTTTTGAAAGGGCTTCCTTCTACTCTGCTTTTTAAAGCCCCCAAGCTATGATTTGCCCAAATGGTTGCCTGAAAGCAGCTCCTAAAATATTCCTGTAGTGCATATAAATGCCTCAGCTTCCAAAGAACTGGGCATCTTGGCTTTTCTGATGGAGTTGTGGTGAGGGGGCTCCCTGGGCAGCCACCTTAAATAACCCTGGGGTGCAAATGATGATGTGCTTCACAGGCACTCATAAACCTGGGGCTTCCTTCTGTCTCTCAGGTTTTAGAGTCATGTTGCTCCTCATGCTCTCCATGTGGCTGTCAGGCCATCAGGAGTAACTGACTGAAAAAGCCCAAGGGATTTAGACACTGTGAACTGAGGATTCTTCAATTTCCTTTGTGACTCTCTACTTGTGAGTTGCTCAAAGCCAGCAGCAGGCAGGTCACAGCTGCTGATGGCACAGGAGAGCCATGGACTACCCCCAATGGCATGAGGTGCAGTGCATGAATTTCAGGAGCAACATGAGTACCTCATCCTCAGAAAAGTGAATATTATGCTGCCCTTCATGGTGCTCCTCAGGTGTTTTGTGTCATGTAACAGGCAGTGGCAGCATTGGAGCTGGATGGCAGGCCACATGGTCAATAAGGACAGTCTAGAACTGAGTCACATGCAGGAGCTGAGACTACTCAGTAAACATTAGGGATAGGATGTCTACAGTGAACTAACAAACCCCCAGGAGGATCTATCCATTTGGGCCCTAAAGTATGGGACAGGACCTCCCAGGGTCTTTCCCCAGTGATCAATCCCAAAGTCAGGGTGGTCACTGAGCCCTCCCAGGTGCAGGCTTAGCTCAGGGAGAGTGGAGGAGGATGCAGGGAGGATGCAGGGCACTTGGAGGGCTTTGCCACTGAGCTGTGCGGGGCTGTCCTGTGTGAGCCACAGATCTCTGTGCCCTCTGTCCTCACCTGCAGGAGTACATGTGGTTCTTCCTGACGCTCCTCCTGAAGAAGCCTTTGCAGCCATCGCAGCTGGAGGCGCCGTAGTGCTTGCCAGTGGCACGGTCCCCGCAGATGGCACACAGCGTGCTCACCCCGAGGCTGCTGGAGCTGCTGAGGCTGGCTGCTTCTGATGGAGATGTGTCTGCTTGGGGAAGGACACAGCAAAGAAGAAGACAGTGAGATAGCCAGCCAACATTTGCTAACTCAGTTACCAGTCAGAGACTCTTGGAGAAACCAGGCAGCTGCAGCCTGGCTGTGTGAGAGATGTGTAAGGAGAGAGTGTGTAAGCTCTCAGTGTTTAATTGCATTTTGGGTGCACTAAAACTTCCTGTATTCCATGGTGAGACCCCTCTTCCCAAAGGCCTGGCAGCAGCAGTGCCTTCAGATAAAGTGGAAGCTCATTTTACAGGAGTCACAGGACAGAGCCAAAATTCCTCGGGAATTTGCAGACACTTTGGGCTGCAGTAGTGTGGCCAGAGAAAAAGCTGATGCAGAGTTAAAGCTGAGGCATTACAGCTCAGGGTGAGCAGCTGATTTGTTAGGGAGGTGTTTGTGTTATAGCACTGAAAGAGCCCAAGACAGCCCTGAGAAGTTCCCTTCTCCAGGCATGGAGCTCCAGCTTGCACAGCCCTTCTTTGGGAAAACAAGACTTTAGGTAAATAGCAAACTCAAATGACTTCAGCTGGAAAACTCACGTAGGCAAAGGCTACCCATGCAAGGAAGGACTGATTTAAGAAAAAAGGTGGCACTCTGGCATGGACAAAGCTGTAGGCTGGGTATCTTCTAAAGTCTGGTAGGATCACAGTGGAAATTGCTTTGTCTTGCAGTCCTTACAGACCAAGGGGGACTGGGACTTGCAGGGCTTTTTTTGGAGGATAGGGAATTGCAGCAGGCTCTGGAGGAAAGGACATCTGAAAGGCTAAAAACCATACAAGGGCTACACTAAACCCCTCCAGCAAGCCAAACAAACCTCAAGGCTGAAGGGATCAGCCCTTAATTCAGTTGATCTAATTGTCCCCTCCCATGTACGTTTTTCTGTGTCAGCACAGGCACATCCCCCTCCCTCAGTGGAAATGCCAGTCACAAATCATACCCAGGATCTACAAAGCCATAGAAACCTGCTGGGATTTTTAATGCTTGAGTCTATTGGCCCCTGATTTCAGGGTTTTTGTAGGGACTCCGTTAAGGCTCACCCTGGAAGGACCCCAGCTGCTCCCACCTGGCACCCAGCAAAAGGGCTGGTCCCAGCTGGGCTCCCCATGGTAGCCCAGCTGTGGTGCTGGGGGGGCCAAGGCAAGTCTGGCTGGGGCAGAGCTGCATTTTTAGCTTCTATTTTCAGAGAAAGGGGTATTTCAGCAGGTGCTGCACATCCTGCTCATGCCACCCCTCAGCAGGAGTAACTGGCACAGAACCAGCAGTGAGTGAGCACAGGGATTCTTGAGCTCCCTACCTCTGGCAACTTCTTTCATTTCCCTGCCTGCTTTCTGTCTTTCCAATTCCTCATGTCCCTCCTGTGTTTCTTTGTGAGTCACTTTGCTGCCTCTCTGTCCTTGCCTGGCACACCCTGTCACGCAGCTCCAGCAGCACCAGTGCAAGGCTCCTGTCTCCACTCCCAGAGCCCTGAGCTTTCCCAAGGCTGTTCTGGCTGTCTCTTGTCCCTGTGAGCAGCTTGCTTCTGAAAACAGCCTTCCTCCATGCATATCCCCAGGGCTCAGCTAAATGCAGCTCACTCCAGAAGGAAAGTCAAATCCCCAGTTCCAGCTAAACATAGGACTTAGATGTGAGAGGAAGAGCTGATCTGCCTCTAATCCCATTACTTGTATATCTGTGGCAGCCCAGATAAATCCCTTTTTAGCAATCTATCAGGCTGTAATCAGATGAACATAGAGCAGGAAAAACTGGCACTCTTATCAAGGAAATTGCAACATCTCAGTCTAATAGTCAACAACAATGAAATTATTGCCTAATGGATAATTTTCCAATTAAGTTTATTCTGACAAATATGTGCTAAAAATGTGGGCTCTGGCTGCTGCAGTCAAGTGGTTAAGGTAAATGGAAGAAAAAAAAAATCTGACTTTGAGACCTCACAGCTGAGCATTGTGTTAGGACAGGAGCTGCTCAAGAGACTGTCTGAACACAGGGTGCATTTTGCCTGTGAGAGGCAAACTTGGTCTCTGCTGAGCAGCTGCCCTGGGGCTGAGCTGTGGCAGGCAGTGGCTGGGCTCTGAGCAGTCCTTGGCCAGAAAAAGAGGCACAGGTTCTGCAAGTGGAGGTCCTGCAGGAGGTGTGTCCTCCAGGGCAGTGCCAAAACAGCCCTGGAATCAAGGGCTGTCCCTGGCCTGGAGCTGGGCCCAGGAGGAGAGGAGTTGGTGCTGCCTGCCCCAGCTGACTCATCCACCCCTGGAGTGTCACACTGGGTCTTGTCACAGGGAATTCTCCTGTCCCTGTGCTCCATGAAGCCCTGGTTCTGGGGCAGGCAGATCACAGCCCCTTGTGCAGATGCTTGCTGGAGGGGAGAGGGGCACGGGCAGGGAGCAGGCCCTGAGCTTGTCCCAGTGTCCAGATGGATATCAGCAGAGCCAAAGGGGGAGACTTGTGGCCCAGAGGCACCTGAAGGGGCAGGACCAGCCCCCAGGAGTGGAGAAGGGGCTGGGACCCAGAGTGGTGGGGGGCTATTGCACAGCAGAGCCACTTTGGCACTGCAATGTTACATCTCTGACAGAGCAGAGCCATAGGCCAGGGAAGACCCATACAGGCTGTGATGGAAGAGTCCACAGAGCCAGCACAGCCCTTCTGGAACAGAGGTGCCCAGCAGCCCTGGGGTGGAAGGAGAGGGCTCAGAGGGCCACTTTCTGTGGCTTCATTTAGTTGTTAACCTCATATTTAGAGAGACTTTAGGGGACACTTGGAGAGGAATCTCTTGTTATCTCTGAGCATTTAATCACCAAGACTCTTTGGTTCCCAAATCCCAAATGGGTGGGCCAGTAATGTGAATCCTGCAGGGTGAGGTGTGATGCTACCCTCCTGAAGGGATGGGAACATTTGTCTATCCTCTCAAGGTCCCCTTGTGCCTCTGACTGGGGGCTGAGCCAGGGAAGGGGGTGGCACCCCACACCCCAGTGCTGCACTGGGGAAGGGCTGTGGCTCACAACAGCTGCAGCGGCAGTGCCTAAATCACTTCTGGCAGTGATTTTCACCCTTACCAGGTGCTAAATACCTTTCTGCTCCAGGCACTGGCTCTCAGCTCTGGAGGCACAGGGTCAGTTGTCTGTCTGAGCCATCAACAGCACTTCAGGCAGAAATTTTTGGCTGGGTCTGGGAGCCCCCCACCATGTTCAGCCCCTGCCCCATTCCCTGGACTGAATGTCTGGAGGGGACCTCTCATTCCAGCCAGCTCCTGGTGTGTGCCTGCTGGACACCATCCCACCTGTACCAAACACAGCTCTGCTCTCCCCCTCTATTTTCCCCTGGGGAAACAGAACCCTCCCAAGCGCTCCCCATCTGACACCCCTTCCCTCCCCAGGAACATTTTTGTGGCCACCCCAGGGACTTCTCCTCCTGCAGCCCCCGGCTCATCCCACCCAGCAGAGGGAGAAGGTGGAGAGGACTCACCATTGCCCATAGCCAGCACCTGCATGTTCTCAAACTCCAGGGTGGTGTATGCCGGGTCTAGCGCTGCGCTGTAATCTGCCATCTCCATGTCTATGAGGGCTTTGGAAAGGCGCATTATCCTGGGCAAACAGGGGCCAGATTGTACCGATTCCCTTGGCCCAGGCTATTGGCCCTCCTGCCTCCCTCTGCCTTCACTGCGTCCCCTACCTGTTGTCTTTTAATTCAGATATTTCTCTGAAAGGATTTGCTGAGCCTCAAGGCCTATACTCCCAGAGGGGTGGAGGCAGGAGGCAGGGGGTTAATCTTTAATCATCTCACCCATTGCCGAATACTGCTAAGCTTTTTTTTTTTTTTTTTTGGTGGAGCAGCAGTGATTCTTGTTGACTGTTTATTATTGAATCTCAAGGCGTTTCTGATCCTGGCTCCTGGGTGCAGGCACTCAGCAAGGGCTATTGACCTTGATGCTGAGCTGCTGGTGTTGCTCTTAATTATACCTGGGGTGGAAAATTTGGAAAAACCCTATCAAGAGAACAAGGTTCTTCACCATTTCTGTCACTGCCTTCCTCTCCTCACCACTGTTTGCCTACACCCCTGTTTTTCCCTTGTCTTCCTCCCTCCATCCCTTCCACTCCTCCTTTTCTCTCCCTCACGGTCAGAGAAGGTCAGCTCCTGCCTGGAAATTTACACGTTGCTATGTAAAGTGAAATATATGGCTCCTTTTACTTCTCTATAAACCAAGTCTTACTGGAGGCTGGATGCTCTATAAACAGATCCCATTCTGCAGCCATGCCCAAAGAGCGAGCAGGGCCGAGGGGTGGCACAGACACCCTGGGAATGGCCAGGGTGACTCCAGTCCCACAGCTGAAATCACTCTGTGCTGGACACCCCCAGCCTCGAGTATTGGCTGATCTGTCATAAAAGTTTCATGAGACAGGTTAGAACAGAGCAGCAGGAGCTTTCCTTCTGGGGGTGCACTGCCTGCTGTCAGCACCAGCAGTGATTCTGTGCCTTGCCCAGATCTGGGTCTGACCCTGCTGGTGCTGGGCAGTAGGGCCAGAGCTGCCTGTGCTCTCCTCCGCAGCTGCCCCACACCACTCCTCCACTTCAGCCAGAACTGAGAGTTTTCAGTGCAATTGCGAGATCATTGAGTGGGAATTTAATCGATCTCTGAATGGCACTGGCTCGTGGTGCAAGAGAATCAGCAATTAATGATTTGGTATCAGTTTGTTCTGCATTGAAAACAGCCTCTGGTTTCGCAATCAGTGGCGGCCGAGTCCACACGCTGCTGATCTGGGCTCCCAGTGCCTTGTGTTTGTTCTTCCCAGGCACCCCAATGAAGCCCCAACCCCACTGGCACCACGAGCTGCCCTGGCCACAGTGCCATCACTGCCACAGCATGAATCCAAGGTCTCTGGCTCCACACCAGTACATGCCTTTGGGCAGTTGTGCTAGTGATGATTTTCTATTCGCATTTTAGGAGCACATGGAATTGTTCAAGCAGCCCTTTGCCCCCCAAAACCATGACCTACATAGCACTTCTGAACAGCTCTTCTACCCTGAGGCTACAGGTCTGAATCTGAGCACAGGGGAGAGCCCCTGCTCTCTCACTTGGGAATGGTGATAAATGATCCTTTGCTGCAGAGGAAAGAGTCATTTGGCCAGTGCTCCTGAGGGACAGGCCAGAGCTCATGTGCTGGTGGCTCTTCCTTTAGGCAGATACAGTCCTTACCGAAAATTGGCTTTATGATGTGCAGTCTGGGATGGACATGCAAGAGTAGAGTACAGCCCCCTCCATAGCCTCATCCCAGGGACCTCAGTCCCAATCCCAGCCAGGCCACGGTGATCCCTTTGATTAGATAAATGCTACAGACACCAGGTCAAATATGTGCAGGATTTGCCACAGCGTCTAGTAAAATATCGTAAAAGCAGGGCCTGTTCTGCCCTGCTCAGCAAAACAAACCTTTTGCTTCAATAGCCTGCTGAGCAAGGGGGCTGCAAAGGCCATTTACTTCCCAGGCAGGAAGGATTAGAAGGGCCAGGAATAGAAATCAGAGGCAGCATGTGCAGGAGAGCAGCAGATAAGGAGCGGGGAAGTTTGGAGAGCATCAGGTGGCTCACGAGGCTGGGGCTGTCAATGGGACGTGGTGTTTTCCTCCCAGGGCTGTGTTGACTGTTGTTTTCTCACTGCCAGTGTCCTCTGTGGGTCACCAGTGGCCCCTCCCAAATCCCTCATGTTGGTGTGGAGGTCGAGGGCCAGACCAGCCAAGGACACCACACACTTCCTTTGCCCTGGAGATGGGCTCTGATGGAGGCATTGGCTGCTCCCTGGGCACTGTTGTTGGAGATGATGTCCCCCCTGGTGTCTCCCCTTGTCACCCTCGTGTAGTGAGTTTTGGGACAGCTTGCCAATGCAGCTTGTCATGGCTTGTACTGGCCAATGGGACCCCACAGCTCTGTAGCTGTTTTAGGTGGGAGATGTTCGAGTCAGCAGCTGCTTGTGGGGCTGTTTCAAACACTCCTGGTGACAGAAGAGGTTTTTCCATTTTTATTCTACACAGAGAGACAACTCATAGCTGGAAGACCTCCATTGATAGGTGAAGGTTGTTCCCAGACTAGGTGCTCTGGGGAAGTTCAGCTCCCAGATCTGCCCCTCTCTCCTGTCCCCGTTTTCTGTACGCTCTACCCACTGCTTCCTATGTCAAGACATGGTTACAAAGGAGACTATGACAGCTCTGGGGCTTGACCTGTTCTGTGCCAAGAGATTATTTAATTTTTATCTGTTGAGGAGCAGTAAATCCTTTCCCACACTGGCACATCATGGCACTAATTCCACCTTATCTATATATCCCTGTCTGGCAAATTGATGCAAACCTAAAGGAGATTCCCTGAAGATAAGATCTGTGCTTCTCAATAGGTGAGGATCAGGAACAGAGTATTTAATAGGGCATTTTTGGAAAGGATACTGTCGCCTACTGCGCTTTCCAACTCTGCATGTCCAGCAGGTGAGCAGGCTCAAGGGGCTCCTCCCTGGTGTTTCTTGAACAGGGTGTTGTAGGATCAGAGGATAACTGATGTCAGAAGGGACCTCAGAGTCTCTGCCCCAGGCTCCTGCTGGAAGCGGGGCCAGCTGTGAGAGCAGCATGGGCTCCTTGCAACTTTATTGAACACCTCAACGATGGAGAGCAGCCTTGACAGCCAGCTGGTGCTTGACTGTCCTCATGGTTAGACACTGGCTGAACCTCTCTCCAGTTTTAATGCCCCTTGATCTCCAGCCATGCACCCTGTGAGGAGCCTGGCCCCATCTTTTTGATGCCCCTGTGAGTGTTATGCTCCTGCAGTCCCTGCTGGCCCATCTCTCCCCCCTGCTGCAGGACACAGCCCTGCCTGCCAATGGATCCACCAGGCACCCCAATCTGGGGCTGCCTGCAGATGTTCTGAGCTTGGACCATGACCAGGGACCCTCCTGCCCCTTGCTTTTCTCTCTCACAAGAAGTGCCTGGCAGTAAAGCCAGTGCCCAGAGCCAGCAGGACCCCCTCAGCTTTCATCGGCAACGCCATCGCTGGCCTGGCAGCCCCGACTCCAGAGCTCTGCTCCCTGTAATTCACAGCTCCAAGGCCACTGTGGAGCTGCAATATTTCACATGGCTTTTTTTTCTCCCCCTCATGCCCACGAAGCAGAGATGGGCTCAGGTGTGGAACCTCTGCAGAGCAGCAAAGCCCTGAGCACGGCCAGGCCCTGCTCAGGCCCTGCCCGGCCCGCCGCCATTTCACGCGCGAGCTGAGGGGAAGCAGGAAGCCCAGGTACAAGACAAAGAACAAAAGTCCCAGGGGAACGTCACCGGCGTAGTCATCTCCACACATGCAAAGGTCCCTTCTGCCTTTTTTTTTTTTCCCCTTTGAAATTTCAAATTCCAGTTTGTGGACAAAGTCCTGCCTATCTGAGAATATAGATCTCCGACCACTGACCAAACTCCACTTGAAGCAGTCCTGAGGACTGCTCTTCCCCTTGCCCACGGATGTGTCTGCTCAGTCCTTGGATTTCCCAGGATCATGCTGAAAATTTTGCACTGGAGCACAGCACTGGTACTTGCACAAAGCGGATTTTGCACTTAATGTCAGCAGCTTCCTTTGTGGGAAGAACCTCGGGAATAACCAGGTAGGAGCCTTATCACCTACAATTCATTTGGCCAGCCATTGCAGAGAGAAAAGGAGAAGGAGGAACAAGGGCTTCCATTGTGCTTGTACCAGCAATTTTAGCTCATCATTTAAGTAAGGGAAGGGGGAAAAAAAAAGCAGCTTCAGAGGGGATGATAAACTTGAGGGAACATGAGCTTGTGGAGGCAGAGCCACTCTGTATGGTTAACTGATAACTCCAATTTGCCTCTTCTCTCTCATCTTTTCTGATTCTCTCAATTAAGCTCAACTTATTCTCATGCTAATCATTTCTTGACCTGTTTATTCTGCATTAAAAAATTAACAGAGAGCAGTTTACTGCATGACTTGCTCACACAGAATTGCTACAGATTAGCAGGCATGCTTTAAGCCCCTACACTGATTTTTTTGGGTCTCACAGCCAGTCTGCACAGCTCGAGGATGAGCTTTTTTTTCCTGTTTTTAAAGAACAGCTTTTTCTAAAGTCAATATAAACCCCCCCTCCTTTCATGCCTTGAGTATATTTGCTCGGTGACTATTTCCAAATGGGAAAGATAAAGCCAAGGGCTTGTGTTTTGTCAGACTTTTTGTAAACAGGGGTATTTAGGCCATACTGTCAAACCCTCCTGCCTTCTACCTCGGCGTGCTGTGACTCCAGAGCAGAGTTGTCAGTGTGTTAATAAGCAGCTCCAAGGAATTTTTTGGGGCTGGAGGGCTGCAGGTCAGTGCAGCTGCACAAGCCCCCAGCTCATGGGGCAGATCTTTGCCTCTGCTCTGGGCAATCATATGACAGACACACAGATGGGGGTCTGCTCCCATGTCCTTCCCCAGAATGTCCCCAGAAGCTGTGAGAAGGCTCCAGGAAAACAGATGATTCAGCAGAGGTTGTTTAGGGTCTGTTTGCCCCTTGCTAGCTGCACACTGCACATCCCTGCCCCAGCAAAACACTTAGTGGAGGTGAAA